GACAATTAACTCCTCAATGGACTTGCCAGCCCTTCAAAGGGCCAGCCCTGCCTCCCTGGATCCCTTGAGCTCTATTCAGTCCCTTAAGCACACCAATGTTTTGGGGTTTTTATTTTGTTTTGTTTGTTATTCTGAAAAGTCTTTCCTGGAGAATAGTCAGAGCGGATCAACATTGTCTCCAGCTCAGCATTTTATCTCCCCTCGACAGTGAATGTCAATCAGAAATCAAAAAGCCAAACAGAGAAGGCTTTGAACAGTGTCATCGGGGGTCGAAGTGACTTCCAGCTGTCTGTGCATGGGCCAGGCCTTCTGGCAGGGAAGGAATTGTGCTCACACACACACACACACACACACACACACACACACACACACACACACACACTGTCTTTATAGGCTCCCAGAGCCAGAGCCCATGCAGGGGCTGCACCTGCAAGGACGAGGCATGAGTGGGGGCTGGGCAACCTTGGAAAGCCAATTGCAGGGGCTCTGGGGCTGAGGCAGTTTCCAAAGCTGCTCACTAGCTCTGCATCCTGGCTCACCCTGAAACTCACTTCCCCTTTCATCTGCCTGATGCCTTCCTCCTCCCTGGCTGATGGCACTGATGGGAGGAGGGAAGCCACCTGCCAGAAACCAAGCATTGCAAAATATGATAATGGGAGTGTGATTGCTCATCTTAAGGTCACCTTTGAGAAATTCTCCCATTTGCCATATTCGCTCATTTTTATTTTCAAATTTGTATTTTCTCCCTCCCTATAAGAAAAATTTTGAAAATCCTCCTCTTTCTCTCTCTCTCTCTCTCCCTTAGTCTGGAAGAGTATTTTGACATCAAAGAGAAATAAAGTCTTAGTATTTGAGGTTCAAAAAAGTCACCCAGAATAAGCCCCATGCATGAAATGATCAGACACACAAATAAACTGAGATTTGGATATACTTTTAAAATATATGGATGAGTTCTCTCCCTTTCCAATTTAACCACTGCTCCAATAACTAGCTGCTGCCACTGGGTCATTTTTCGCTAGCAACTCTGGTACTCTCTCATTTTGGCTCAAAGAGCTTTAATTGAAATGTAACTTGCCAGACAAACAAACAACAAGCACCCTGCTCATTCTAAATGTAAAATCCAATGAATTTAGCAATTTCCTAGAGTCACTATTACCAGAGACAATTTCCATCACTTCCCTGTCGAACATTTAGCTTATTTATAGCTTTACCTTTTTCCAGCCCCAGAGTGAGCATGTCCACGGAGCTGCTTACCTTCTCAAGGCATCTACTTTTGTAAATCTGTGTTCTCATTTCCCATTTATTATGTTTTTGAAGGTCATCAGGTGTATATTTTCATGTTTTAGTTATTCCTCTCAATGGCTGAATAGTATTCCTTTATAGTGGCATATTATATATATGTTGATAGACATATGAGGCTTTTTGAGTCAGTGAGATGGCTCAGTGAATAAAGAGGCTTGCCACCAAATCTACAACCCAAGTTCAGTCCTTGAACTCACATGGTAGAAGGAGAGAACAGACTTCCTGTCCATGGAATGGACATGTCCATGGTATACATGTGCCTTCCTCTCCAAACAAAGAAATCCAAATTAGAAGCTTCTATATTTTCTATATCTGAGTAATGCTGCTACAATTGTATACATGTCTTTCCTAGAACATTTCTCTTTCATAAATTTCTAGAAGTGGGATTTGGGAGCTGAATTTAATTTTTAAAGAAATTGCCAAATTTATTCTTCAAAGTGTCTGTCCAGTTGTGTATTTCCACCAACAGTGAGCTCAGGGTTCTATTTTCTCCACATCCTTGCTAACACTTGTTATTATTTGTCTTCTAGTTTAGCTATCCTTGTGGGTACTTAGTGATAACTTGTGGGGTTTATTGGTTTGTTTGCTTGAGACAGGAACTTGTAGTGTAGCCTTGACCGGTCCAAAATTCACTATGTATCACAGTCCGGCCTTGCACGTGTGGTAATTCTCCTGCCTCTGCTTTACAAATGCTGGGATTACAGGCAAGTACCTTAATTGTGTAAATTCGTACCTCCTAATGATGAATGACATTGAACATGATTAGTGTGTTTATTGCTCATGTCTGTGTCTTTGGTGTGTGTGTGTGTGTGTGTGTGTGTAATGTTTATTAAAATATCCTGCCAAGTTTTGAAATAAAGTTGTTATCTTATTGAATTATAAGGTTTATCTAATTTAAAAAAACTTTGATAGAATCTTAATTTCATAAATCCAGTGTTAGAAGTAAGTAATTGAAATAAGATGGTTTTGAGTAGCTCCTTTAACAGTATTTTAGGATTATTCACACCCTCAGAGTACCAGTGTTCTGAAGCTTAGTAGGCAGACATCTTCCATGTTTGCCGATGATATTGCTGCCCAGACAAAAGTGAGCGGTTTAGGTTTGGCAACGCATGGATGTAAACTAGGGCCAATGTGAGGCCCTACTAGGGATTTGGAAGCCAAGGGCACAAGTAGCAATGCAGGACCTAGTGTGCGGCCTGGTACTTCTCCAAGGATTGCCAGGAAGCAGAACGGCTGTGGACCTTGGACCCAAGCCTCGAACCTATGTTTACTGAAAAAAAAGTGTGCTTATTTGGTGTGCCAGAAGCCAGGTGCCCAGGTGCCCGGAGATGATGGTTGGAGGGTTCTGTTGGATTTGGCGTTGCTTCCTGGCTTTGGGGTGTGCTGCATTTCACAGGTGGCTGCTGGCAACAGGGTACCTTGACTTTTCTCACTCCATAAAGCTTTCCATCCTCCCTGCACAGAGCCGCTGGACCTCTTCACCCTCAGCGGCCCCTATCCAGCAGGAAGACTCAACCCCCTGCCTCAGCGCCGAGCTCTGTAGGCTTCTGTACCGAGGTCTGAGGTGCCCCGCCAGCGGATGTGTAGATCTTCCCTGGGAAACCCTCCTTACTCTCTGCAGACCTCCTCTGCTGATGGCTAGACCAGGTGGCCAGATGCAGGCTTTCATCTGAATGCCAGGAGAAGGAGGCAGACTATTTTTAGTTGTCGTGCTCCAGACAGAGAGGTAGCTCTCATGTAGAGATTTTAGTGCCTACATCAAATGTGAAATATTACATAAGCTGTTGGACGTGGGACTCTCGCTGTTGACTTCTGACCTTTGTCAGCCCTCGAGGCTCCTAAAGTGAAGCCAATCCGAGAGGAGGGGTCTGAGTGCACTGTGCTGAACTATCACGCTCCACTCCGCATCCGGCACAAGTGAACAGACAAGTGTGCACTGCAGCTGCCAGGGGACTCCATTCAGTGACTTGTTGAATTCAATGGGAAAAGGTGTTAATAGAGTCGGGGGAAGTGGTGCTATTTATAAAAAAAAAAAAAAAAAATGACATCGTGTGGCTCTGTTTGGTGTTTATTCTCCCTCAGTGACTTCCAGATCCAGCTCACACAGTTTACCATCAAAAGATACCCATTAGGGGATTCAGTTTGGGGCAAATAAGATATCCAGTGCAGTGTACTGAAGCCTCGCTTTCTGCTCTGTCTCATTTTGGGGGGTGGTTGTCAGATAGTCCCGGGATTGCTTTGGCCCTAGTGAGAGTTGGGTCATGGCGTCAGCATGTGACAGTCGCACCAGGGTCAGGTGTCCCAGCAATGTCGGAGCCCTGGCCTCAGCCTCTCCAGAGGGTGTGGGTCTCCAAGGGTTGACACCAGCAAGAGATCCGAATTGCTCTCTTTCCTTCCTCTGATAAGATGCAGGGAGATCAGGGAAGGCACCAGAGTTCCAGATGGTGGGTGGAGCACTGTTATTATTGATGGTCTGATCGGTGTTTCATGGATAATCTGAGAGCAAGGCTTTTCTATAAATAGTGAATGCCCAGGGAACATAGTGTTCCATTCTAAATGATCTCTAGGGGGTCTTGGGAGGAGAGCATGGTGTAATCATCAAACTGGCTGAAACAATAACTCCCAACCTTTCTCCTCTTACTGAGGGAGAAAACAAAGAAAAATCTCTAAACTATTCTGAAGATAAAGATAACCCCTTCCTCCTTTACTCAGGGGGGTGGAATAGTGGCTTCTTGGGGACCAAGAAACACATACTCTTTTTACACATATAGTCTGTTATCCACTGACATTTTTCTTGGGAAGTGACTGGAGAAAATGGTCTAAAAATATTCCTTCAATAGGCAATAATGAAAATGGTTGCAAAACACTTCTCTAAGCTGAGGGTCTGGGGGCCTTGATAAAAGCAGAGTCCTGGCAGGTAAATAAACAAAGTCTCTGCTAACTCCTGACACATGGAGACCCTTGCTCTGCAGAAAGAGCTGCCAAAGGTACTGAGTGATAAGCACTGGGACTTTGCTCCTAGGAGCACCCTGCTCCCATCATCCGCAATAGGAATGTCACAGTGAGGCCTGGGTGATCTCAGCAATTTCCCGTGTTGTTCCCCGTCCGGTTCACCAACCTGCTGCTGGGAATTTCAGTGTGAAAGTTCAGTGGGATGCTTTTGATTCTCTCCGGTGTGTGGGAGAGAGCAGTGCTTTGCGAGTCCTCTATTCAAGGCAAGGATGGAGAGGCAGCTGGGACTGTGGAAGGAAGTAACACCCTGGTCTAAGCTTTTAAACCAGGGCCATTAGGAAAAGGTTCTAAACTGCTTACCTTGAACTGGAGGATGGGAATTGAAGGGGAGTCGCCAGGCTTTCATTCTACGGGCTGCCTGTGTTAACCTACCTAGACAAAGCTCGGGGCTGCTGGGGGAGAGGCTTCCCACCCTACTCTTTTGTGGGGTGTGGTCGGCTGGAAGAGTCCTCCAGAATCCTCAGATCTATGAGAATGGAGCCTCCATTGCGCTGAGTCCTAGCTCCCCATGAGCCCCTGCGATGAGCACACACACACATGGATTTGCTTTCTTGTGTCTCTCTCTGGTTGTTCTTCCTAACCCCGCTTCTGCTTCTTCCGGCTTCTTCCTTTTTCTCTGGCCTTGTACAAACCCCAATCATTCAACAGTTCTGGAGAGTAGATAGTATTTACCTCAATAATGGTAGTCTCTTTTCGTTTCTTTTTAACCCTCAATTCAGATGACGGCTCTAAGCCCACACCTACGATGGAGACCCAGCCTGTGTTCGATGGAGATGGTAAGCCACCATTTTACTGTCCTCTCTTACTCTCCACGCATGTTCAGAATTGGGCAAGATAATAGCTTTATATGTTTGTCTAAGCTTCATTGTTTTTTCTTTTTTAATGTCAGAATTGGGCAGGACATTAGCTTTATGTGTTTGTTTAGGTTCCATTATTTTTTTTTTTCTTTTTTAATTTCAATTTTTTTTCCCAGCACAAGCTAGTTTGTCCCCACCTTTTAAAAAAATGTGAAGCCTCCAAGTGACTAGTGGAACTCTCTTCTTCTGGAATGATCCTCTGTTCTTCCCAGGCTTCCTGCCTGTAACCCATTGTCCAGCAAAAACATGGTTTAGACAGCCCCACCAGGGAGTCATGGTGAGAAAGGCTGGTGAAGGCCATCAATTTTCAGCAGCATGTGACTCAGCACTTAAAACTGCCCACTCTGTGTCTAGAGTGGTGCAGGGTTGCTGGGGTGTGTGTGGGCGGTGGGGGATGAGAAGGAAGTTTGTGACTGCTAGTCTTCTTCTCACTGCAACCCCTAGAGAGCTTCATGAACTAAGTTCTAGGTCCTGGTCCTATCATCGTAATATATGCTTATGGGAGAGAGGGTTGGCATTGTTCTGGGACGAGTTGGGAAGATAAGGGACTTGAGCTGGATTCTGCAAGAAGAAGGAAGGGATCTGGGTATTCCAGCAAGGATTGGCCAGGAACAAGGAGGGAAAGGTGATGGGTATGGGCCACCATTAGGGAAGTAGAAAGAGACTGGCAAGTGGGGATGGCTGTGCTGGGACATAGGGCTTTGGGGAGTTGAATTAAAACATTTGGGAGAAACATCCTAAGTCAAGGGCAATAGTGGATGGTGATCAAATAAAGGCTAGGAATCCCTGGAGGCAAGGACAGTGGATTGGCAGATCTGGGGTTCAGAAACTTGGCACCTGTTCAAGGTGGAGAACCCTGGGGGCTTCTGTTCTGCAGGGACTTTACCCAGCACTCCAGATTCCTGTGAACAGGAACAGGACGTTTGGCAGAATAAGGTTTTCAGAAAGTGTGACAATGAAGTTCAGCTTTCAGTAAACAACATTTTAGTATACAAGTATTCAGTATACAAGATTTTAGTGGTGCTCAGCTGAGTGTGTCTGGATCATGAGATAGTGGAATAGAGGAAAAAAAAGCAAAATCATGCCATGGCACTATGGCTAGGGATGATCCAAGTGAGGCTCAGCTCAGTGAGAACTGAATGGTGAAATAAGAATCTACAAACATCCCCTTTGTCATTAGAAAACCTGAGTCCTAGGGGGTCAGGTGGAGGATGGAGATGTTCACATCTGGGGAGACCATCTTGCTGTTGTCATTGGAGATCTGGTTGCTGCATGGTATGTTCAGAGTGATCCCACAGGATTCCCACAACCTCAGTCTGCTTGGTGACTCTGGTACTGAGAGCCTGAAGGCACCCTGGGGTGCCCTAGATGAAGGTGTTTGGCATGTGTTCAGCTTGACTGGGAGAAGGGGCTGGAGATGTGTCGGATTCATTCCTTATTCCCCACACAGAGCAGAAACTCAGCAGGCCAAATCTGTTGTGCTTCAGCTGTTTCCTCTAAAATGGTCTCTGCGGTGTGTTTGGCATTCGTTTGTTGATTTATCCCCTTTAAATCTTCTCCTAGGGAAGCGGCTGAGAGGGACTTGGCTTGGCCCGTGTTCCTCACCTCCTGGGATAATATTTTTATTCCTTGATGGAGTGGCTTGGTGCCTCTGGATTCTGACTACTCTGTGTCCCAGCACAGGAAGCCCTGGTTGTCCCTTAAAAGCTGGTGTGGAGAATCACTTCCGCCACAAGGAAGAGAGAGTGTGTTGGCACTGAGATGAGGTCAATATGCCAACAGGGAGATAGCTGAAGCTTTGATGTGTAGTCCTCTAAAGAGCTTATTACAAGTCTGGGTTATACTCCATGTGACTGACTTCTTATTTTTCTTTGCCCACATATGCACAACATTCTCTTTCTCTCTCTCTTTTCTAGAAATCACAGCTCCTACCCTATGGATTAAGCACTTGGTAATCAAAGACTCCAAATTGAATAACACCAACGTAAGAAATTCAGGTAAACAATCTTCCTTGGATTATGTATGTATTCAACTTTCTGTCATGGGTGCCCCATAGTTCCATGACTGCTCATCGTGTGGGGTTGTTTTCTTTTGTCTGTTTCCTTCCTGTTCTCTCTCTCTCGTCTGCCTTCCCTTCCCCTGTCTCCTCTCTTCCCCATCTCTCTTCTCTTCCTCCTCCTCCTCTGACTCCTTTTTAAAGACAGAGTCTCATTCTTTAGTCCAAGCTGATTCTTCCACCTCAGGCCCTGAGGACTGGTGTGCCACTCCACTCTGCCTAGCTTCACAGTGTGGTTTGGGGCAAGTCATTTAATATCCTCTTCATTTTCTCCAGCTAGAAAATAAGGAGACCTGATGAGATAGTCCCTTCTAGTTTTTATTTTCTTCTTTTATCATAGTCAGGATGAACTTTGATGAATAGTTGATCTGTTTGGATGGCAAACTTTGTCAAAACGTCATAATATCTTGATTGACTTTCTAAATGCCATACAGGAGAACTTGAAAGAAGAGACTGGGCATCCAGAAGTTGAACTTCAAGCTCCAACAGACTTAATTCCACTGTTTTGAGGCTTTCACACTGCTTACAGTCATGTCCTTCCTGTTTTGATCTTTTGAAGTCTTGGGAATGGTCGGGTTTTGGCACTGATTTGGAAGAAAGGTGATGAATTTTGAAGAGGGATCACATTCATAGTATTGACTTGAAACATTATTTGCCACCAACAAAGATCAGACCCAACTGAGTTCACTGGCCATCAGTAAAGACTAAATATTCACCATCAGAAAATGTGGTGGCAAACCAGAGCAGTGTTATTGTCTGGGAGCATCATTCTTTCACTGAAGGCATCATTATGAGAACTAGCAGTTAGCATAGCATTGTTGTTGGCTGAGTTTAATTTAGCCATATCCTTCCTTTATTAGTGTCAAGGACTACGAGCAAAGAATTCCTGCCTTTGAATGGACAGGCAGGGTTTTATGTGACCATTCATCTCTCTCTCTCTCTCTCTCTCTCTCTCTCTCTCTCTCTCTCTCTCTCTGCGCGCGCGCGCACGTGTGTGTGTTGTCATTGGCTTCTCTATTTTACTCCTGTACCAGCTCTGTATTATAGGTGGCAGTATGGGGGCTAGAGTTCAGGGAATGAGACAAAGAAGTGAATGGTGTGTTTATCCTGATCCTTATTTACCGCAATAATGGTGGGCTTCTGTATGGCTTGGGCTGGTCAGTGTTTCCTACTATTTGATATGCTGGAAGTAAGGGATGGTATGTAAAGGAAGCCATGTGATCTGCCTTGGACTAGAGTATGGTAGAATAGTACAGCAGTTAAAGCTCAGGCTTTGGAATCAGCAAAATCCAGGTGTAACACACAGTGAGTGACTTTAGTCAAATAATTTCCCTGGGCCTCAGTTCTTACCTATAGGATGGAATCATAGTCTGTTTCTTAAAAGGTCACTAAGTTAATTTCTGTTTGTTTCTTGACTGATGTTTGGCTAGATGAATAATTATTAGGTTATGCATTTATTGTTATCAACATTGGTGGTAACAATGATTTGAGTTTTATTTGTGGTGGTATGCACACTTTAAACCTGTGTATGTTCTATAGACAGACATTCTACTACTGATCTGTATCTGCAGCTCTTGATGTTTGGGCTAGTGCCATGGTATATAACCCAGGGTAGCCTGGGGCTTCCAGTCTTCTTACCTCAACTTCCTGAATGCTAGGATTATAGATGTATACCACCATACTTAATCACTTACAGTGCTTAGACTGGAGGAAGCCAGTGACATGTGTCTTTTCAAGTCTATTCTCTGAGTGTAATAAAGTGATGGGGTCAAATTCTGATTCCCACCCCTACTGCTTTATGTAGTTTTCTATTGCATGATCATAGGGTCATCCTGAGAAATTGTTTCTAGCAAGTACAACTATCTTCCTCTTGTAGTGATCCAGCCACCTTTATTTTCCACAGTTTTTGACTCTATAAGGTTAGTATATAGGACAGGATAGTTGCAGAAGAGCTAATTGTTCTTTAGAGGAAACACATCAAGGAACTTATTAGGCTTTTGTTTTAGTAATCATTTAACAGGCTAGAATATTCCCTGTCATTAGCACCTGGTCATACTGACTGATAATTGTCAGGGTTATTGATGGAATCAGGTATAAAAGACATGGTTCCACAAGAGTATTTAGCAGATAACAATTGGCCACCTGGCTGGTTTTGCAAATAAAGTTTTATTGGGACATGACCATTTTCACCCTAGCCGAAAGGCTTGAATAGCTGTCACAGAGCCTGTATGAACTATAAAGCTCAAGATATTTACTTTATGATCTCCCACAGAGAAAATGTTCTGGCCCCTGGTATGTACAGTTGAATATGGCATTTTAGTGGGAGGTACATGCACACAGTTGTTTGTCTCCCTCAACTTTTTTAGGCCCCTTCATAGAGCAAGCAGAAGTAGGAGCTGTGGCTCCTGAGAGGCTCTGTGATGTTCCAGATAAGCCTGTACCATCCCAGGAACTCATGGGGCCACTCATCTTACATGGATCATTCTCAAGCTTTATCATCCTGTTCTGGTGCATGCTATTACAACTGGTTGCCAAGGAAGCATCATGAGGTCTGGATTTTCAGGCAGTGGTGTAGGAAATCTTTTACACAGGAGCCACATACTGGTCAAAGCATGGGCTTTGGAATCAGATGGACATGTAGATCTGGTTTCCTGGACTGGCTTTCCTTGCCTTGGAAAGCCAACCAACTTTTCCTAGTCTTGTTTTCCTTATGTATAAAGCAAAGTTATTGCCCTTGAGGATTTTTGTGAGGCTTCAGTTTTAGACTTGTAAGTCTGGCCCTTAGGTTTACCATAAATGATTTAAAAACACAACAAAGTGAAGGAAGTTGCTTTGGTGGAGTGCCATTTTGCATTATGCTACCTATCCTCGCATGTTGGCACATTTCATTAATGATGAGTCAGATACCCTTTGATGAGAACTTTTGTCTGGTCCATTGGCTCTTAGTGAGGACTGGGGCCTTAGCGTTAAACACCCGAGGTCATTTTTTCATTAGAGTTTAACAGAAGATCCTGGGCTCAGATGAGCTTCGACCACATGCCTGGGGAGGTTGGAGTCAGACTGTGAAGTGTGCCTGGGTGAGAGCTCATCTTCCCAGTCTTCTCCCAGAAGAAGAAGAAGGGGGAAAAGGGCAATTCCAGCTTCTTTTACACCCCACACATCCTTTTTTCACACTCAGACCCTGTGACGCCAGGTTTGTTTTCTGGCCTGGGGACTGTTGATGTTGGAAAGGTTCCACTGGGCGCCTGAAGTTGTGCAATAACATGACACACACTCCTGCAGGCATATCCAGTCCTTCTCTCCTCCTGGAGGTTCTGGCTCTTTCTGGAAAGCTCTGCCGTGTGTCCACATGGCTGCCGTGGCCTTTTGAGTCCTTGTCAAGTTTAGCATATCCAGATGGGCCTTTCTGGTCCCCTCTTCCCTGACCACCTCCCTCATATCTCACTTCACAGGCATCCGTGGCTCCAGAAATCCTTTCTGTATCTGGGAAGATGATGTTCCTAGCCAGCGAACACCCTAGACCTTGGGAGCAGTGTGTCCTAGATCAGTGCTAGCCAGGGCCTCTGCTGCTTTTTCAAGGAAATGTGAACTCCTGCTGAGGGTTTTTTTTTTTAAATCCAGACATTTCTTCAAATACTTGGCATTTAAAATACGCTCAAGCCATCTCTATTCATAGAAGGTGACAAGATAAGATAAACAACAAGAATTAGCCTGGGTCTAAGCTGACTATGTGAAGATACTGTATATGTCTTTTTTGTCTCTTTATGATTTCTGACTTTCTGTTTCTATATGGCAAAATGCTGTGCTTCATCTCCCGAGAAATTGCTGACTCTCAGGAACTGGGGTCATGGATGTGGCCACCATGCTCTGTGTGCCATGGCAACGTTCTAGGGTAGCAACAGGGTTCTGTTTGCCCTGGGAGCCCAGGCTAGTGCCCATAGCCTCTAGTTTTGTCTCTGCAACCATGCCTTTTCATTTCCTTTCTTCTTGTTTTTCCTCCAACTCTTTCATGATGTGATCAGGGACTGCAAGAAGGACCCCATGAGTTAAATCTTAAAGCCTCTCCTCCCTTGCCTCCATGACCAGCATGTGTGTAGCTGTAGATGAAGCATTTTATAGTCCCTCTGTTCCCTGGGGATAGAACTACAGTTTGGGACCCAAAGTGGAAACACATTTCTTCAACATTTTGTAGTGATACAAGATTCCCATTTCTTCTTGCATGAGAATGTCCGTGTGTGCTCAAGGCATGTGCATGTGTCACAGATAGGCCAGTTGACAGTATTCTTGCCCTTTCTCATTTGGGCATGTTTTTCTTGTAGGCCATCTTCTGGGCCACTGGTCATAGCTGAGATTGCTTTTCTACCCATGGAATTTCTGCTGGGATAGCTGCTATGACTTGGGTTTGGGGTCATAGAGGCAATGGCACCTCCTGGCTGGGTCCCCACCCCCACAAATCTATACTTTTTGCCCAACTGGAAACCGTGGGCTGATGTAATGACCTGAGGCTGGAAAAATAAACAGCTTGCAAGGAAACCGGTGGTAGCCTTTGTAAGCAAATACCCCACAGCCACCTGGAATCTCACACATGATGCGGTTGGGAGGAAGAATGAGTAATCTACTAGCATTAGCAACTGGGACGGGCCTGGGCTTGTGGGCATTTAAAATATCTATATGAAAATACATCCCTGTTATAAGCCGTGTAGGCTATCTGCCCTTTTGAGATCATGAAGATGCTTTAGTCAATCATGGCCAACTGAGATGAGGATGGGGCCAGATGGATTTTCCCAGGGCTTTCCCTTGGCAGCAAAGGCTTTGCCCCTTCTCTGCTTTTTCCTTTGCTGAGGGAAAGGTGATTATTATTGGTCTATAGTCCAGTTTGACCTTGCTTTAACATCAGCTTTCTTGGTTACATAACTGTCACCTCATTGTCTGCTTCTTGTA